ACGCTCTTAACAAGCTTACTAAGCGCAACTGATACCCTCTTCCCTTGATTTAAGAGATGCTACAGACTGTCAGCACTGCTAAGTGGTTCACTAAGCTAGACGTAGTAGCAGCGTTCTATAAGATCTGGATCGCATAGGGAGAGGAGTATAAGACAGCCTTCCAGATGAGATATAGGCTATTTGAATGGCTAGTTATCCCCTTTAGGCTCACAGGAGCCCCCGCCATATTCTAACGATATATTAACAGCATACTTCGAGAGTATCTAGACGACTTTGCAACAGCATATATAGATAACGTCCTGATCTACTCAAATAGATTATAATAAGACCACGAAGCAAAGGTTAAGCTAGTACTGCATAAGCTTGCTGCAGTAGGGCTATGTTTAGACCCTCATAAGTGTGCCTTCTCTGTGAAGACAGTTAAGTACCTAGGGTTTATTATTACAGCTGGAGTTAGTATCTCTTATAACCCTGAGAAACTGAAGGCGATTAAGGAATAGGCAGCTCTAAAGACACTTAAGGGAGTCTAAAGCTTCCTTAGATTTGCAAACTACTACTGGATCTTTATCTCAGCATACTCAGAGATTGCTGGACCCCTGATAGCTCTTATAAAGAAGGGTGTCCCCTTCTGCTGGGGTAAGGAATAAGAAGTAGCATTCCAGGAGCTTAAGAGGATCTTTGCTGCTAAGCCTGTTCTATATCAACTGGACCCTGAGCGCACAACCTATATTGAGGCTGATTGCTCAGGCTTTGCCCTTAGAGGCGTACTCTCACAGGAAGATAAGCATAGCAGACGTCATGCAGTAGCCTACTACTCACAGCAGCTTAACGCTGCCCAGTTTAACTATCTGATATATGATAAGGAGATGCTAGCTATTATAAGCTATCTATGAGAATAGAGAGCAGAGCTACAGAGTGTCGGCCACTTTAGGATCCTATCAGACCATAAGAACCTAAAGTACTTTATGACAAAGCAGAAGCTTATAGAACGGCAAAGCTGATAGGCAGAGGAACTATCTCAGTATAACTTCAAGATATAATACCAGCTAGGAAGCAAAGCAGTAGTGCCAGACGTACTCTCTAGATATGAATAAGATATACCTACGTCTCTAGAGGATAAGCGTAAATAAGGTTGAATCCTACAGCTCCTCCCAGAAGCAACCCTACCCTCAGCGCGTATACAACATATAGAGGCAGCACTATTGATGCTTATATTTACCGATGATAAAGAACTATAGCAACTCTGGGATCAGACCTAAGGATAAGACGAAGTCTACCAGCAGGCCTATGCTGCTGTAAAATAACGAGAAAGAAGCTTCCCCCCAAGCCTTAAGCTAAAGGTTCAGATCGCTAAGTGTAAGATTAATAATAGCAACTAACTACTGTTTAGAGATCAGATTTAGGTACTAGGTAATAAAGATCTGGATAACGACGCAAACACGCTACGCACCTATATCGTTTAAAGCACCCACAACTTAGTGCTTAGTGGCTATCTAGGAAGAGATAACACCCTCGCGCTGGTTAGTAGATAGTTCTACTAGCCTGGTCAGTCGCACCTAGTATAGCGTTTCTGCTGTAACTGCGATAGTTATGGGCGCAGTTATATCTGGAGGGAACGTCGTAAGGGACTTCTGAAACCACTACTGATACTACAGCGTATACGAAGCAACCTCGCTATGGATTTTATTACTAACCTTCCCCTTACAGATAAGGGCGAGAGATATCTTTAGGTAATTATCGACCGGCTAGGTAAAGGCGTAACCCTTGAGGCGATAGAAAGCATAGAAGCTGAAGCCTGTGCTGAACGAGTCCTAAACTGCCACTTCAGGTTTCACAGCATCCCTACGTCAATTATGAGCAACAGAGGGAGCAACTGGATAAGCTGCGATAATAGCGCTATTAGGATGAGTAGCTTCTTCCTAGAGCATGGATATAACCCAGAGCCTATTAAGGTCAAGGAAGCAGGCCCAGCAAGCCCTGAGGGCACCTGTGAGGGCCAAGCACGCAAGTTAGTAATAAGGCTTCAAGATATGATGGATATGGCCTAATCGACCCTCGCCTCAACACAGCAACGCTATGAGGAGCTGGCTAATAGGAAGCGCCAGCCTACAGAGAGACTAGTGTTACGACCCGTTATGTATGGATAACAGTTGACCGACCCACTTGGGCATCGGGCGGCTAGGATAAGACATTGGTACTGCAGGATCACGGGAACAACAGGGACTCACTCGGAAACGGAAGAACTATGGTACAGGTCACGTGACGATAAGAAGGACCGACGAGAGATAAGCGGTCCTGATCTAGGACCGACATAAAGAAAGCGGTCCACACCTGGGGACCGCTCGGAAGATATCAGTCCTCAGTTGAAAGAAACTACTTAGACTTATATATAGTATGACCCTGAGCCTGGCTCATGGTCAAACTTCTATAGCTCTTCAGCAATCAACTTAGTATTCATCCTCACGGATACTCTCAGCTTACCTTCACTGCGAAATCACTTATTGAGTCTAAGACTGATCACCTTAGCCTCTGAAGAACCGATCTACTACAGCCTACGAACTACGACCTACGACCACGACCCAGTATACTGTTAGAACGTATCAATCCCCAGCTTCTGTTAGCAGACCCTACTGTCGGAAAGCTGACCGTAACAACTAGAAGTAGGCGACAAAGTCTAGCTTCACATAGGGCATTACAGATCCCCTAGGCCTTGCAAGAAACTGGATTGGTTACACCATAAGTATATAGTTACGAAAGTCATCTCACTATATATAGTAGAGCTTGACGTACCAGCAGCTATATACCTACGCTTCTATATAGATATCCTAAAGCGCGCAGGTAACAACCTCTTACCTGGTTAAACGTTAGATGACGAGCAGCCGCCACTAATTATAGACGATAAAGGCGAAGAGACCTGAAGTATAGAGAGTATCAACGCTTCTACCTAGAAGCATTGAGGGTGCAGGCGACGCCGCGAAGTTCTGGTTAAGTGGGAAGGATATACAGAGAGGACCTAGGAGCCTGTCGAGACGCTCCAGGGGACAGAAGCAATAGAGGCTTACGAACGCCGTTATGGCTCTGCGATGGAGCACGATGGAGACCCAGCCTTAGCGCTGCGGGCGCGCCGCTGGAGGGGAGCGGGGGGGTGATGTCACAGGCTAGAGCCCGGATTGATATCTCCAGCTTCGCCGGAGCAGTTACTGAGATCCAGCTCCGTTGGACCCACTATTCTGCCGCAGTACGCCGCCTAACCCAGCCTGCTTCACCGCTGTTAGGTGCCTACTCTTGTAAAGTCCTTTCTTCCTTCTTCAGCTTAGAATAGTCAATCGACGGCACCTCTACGTTGAACAAGCCTAGGGGCCAGCCCCTTACACTTTCTAGCTTATTAAGTTAGAAATTTAGCTATATAAGGTTATATAGAGCACTCTATAGTAAGTAGAGACCTACGTAATAGACTAGCTACTAATTATATTAGTAATAATGTTCTAAATATCTTAAGGAGTATAAAAAAGCATTTTAAATTAATTAGTGAATTTCTTAGATTTTTATTTACTTTGCGTTATTATAATATTAGTAGGTATAAAATTATAGGGGTGGTTTTAATAGTGAAAAAATCGCTCAATTGGGCTGATCGATAGGTGCAGGGTATTGGTTACTTAGGGTGGTGGCTTAGGTAGAGGTAGTAACGTAGTGCCAGCGGAATGAGATTCTGAAAGCAGCCTAGCGTCTGCGCACGGCCTCTAAAACACAGTGATGTTCGATGATCAGGATAAGTCAGCAAGTATTACCTCCACTGCACCCAACCCGCTTCGGCACACCGCTCCCCGTCACAACGTGCCCGAGTATTCAACGCAAGCATGGCAGAGGCAGCTGATGCAGTCAACATTCTGTCTAGATTCTTATCCGACGAAAGAATTGATGGAGTCTCAGGGGTCAATCGGTTCTTCGAGTCGCTGCCAACCTCCCAGCCTCGGAATGTGACACCAGCCGCGCCACCTACCGACGCCATAGTCTTCTGTGCTTCGTCCGTGCTCGCCTTGGCCGATGTTGTTTTCTCTGCATTCAATGGAGGAGAACCATCTGGTAACTCTGAACTTGACCAAAAGATTGATCTGTGAGTGTGAATACCTATTCAGTGAGATTGGCCGTCCACAAGAAAAGGAGACTGACCCATGCCCCCAGAGACGGGAGACGCACAGTCCTGGTGCTTTGCGGCGGCATCGGTCACTCTACCCCGTTCTTGTATGACGCAGTTGCCAGACATCCAATCTACAACGTAATCGCAGACGAAGTTCAGGGGAAACCAGAAGCACGCGTCTTGCAGCTGATTGCCGAGCGCTGGTTTGGGATTCAAGCCCTCGAAGCCGGTCCGGAGGCTGCCATGGTGCTCAGTAATGACCGAGATAAGTTTGTTGTCGTAGTTGAAGATCGTTCCACAAACTGTGGTGCAAACGCATCCGAGTCTAAGCAAGTTCTTGAGGCCTGTGGAATTACCTCACCGCGGTCGATCATAGTTGTACAGGATCCCACTATGTCAAAGAGGACCGTTGCAACGTTTGAGAAGACGTATGCCATGAACCACAGATCTACACTTCACATCACCAGCTGGCCAACATTCACGCCAAAGGTTCACGTCAAATCTGGCGTGAATGAGGAGGGAAAACAAGATCCACTAGCACTGCTCCAGTACTCCGGGCAACAAAGCCGTGGCATTACCTCAGATGGCCTATGGGACATGGGACGTTTCGTGGACTTACTGATGGGGGAGGTCCCTCGTCTCAGGGATGATGTAAATGGTTATGGTCCCAATGGCAAAGGATTTCTCGTACATGTGGATATTCCGGAGGAGGTCGAACGTGCCTGGAAATACCTTGACAACGCAATTGGGGCCGCAGGACGAGATCGATAGATGCATGCACTGAGTGTAACATGACTGTAATTCCTACCTAGTAAACGATGAGAGTCCTTGAAGCTACTATAGCGCAGAATCATAGCTTGTTTCAGGTACTGATTTGATACTCGTATTCCTCGGGGTTTGGGGAATGGAATAGAATTTCTGATGCAGCAATGCCAACATCACTGGAAACTATTGTTTTCGTGAGATGCAATGGCTTGTTAAGTACACCTGAGCCCATGAGCGACTGTACAAAGCCTTTGACTGATTTGATAGCCACTGCTGCAAGATTGCGAGCACCTTCATATGTCGGGTCGAATGATGCCACAGTCAAAGAGACAGGCTCAGTGGCCGTGGAGATCTCTCTGAAGCAGCCGACAATGTCCGGCTCCAACAGGCCACCAGGCGCTGCAAACCGATTGGCTTTCCCGATAGAGACGTCCAAAGAGTCGACATCGAAATGCACCATTGTGGGACGAAGTTGCTTTCGTTGCAGCACTGTGCTGAGTCCTGCTTTGAAGTCGACTTTCTTCTCAGTATCGCCCCAGATCACGTCGAAGCCGGCCTCTCCTACCCGTGCTCGCTCCAAGTGGTTCACATCTCTCATTCCCACGTGCACCAGACGCTCCAAATTGATAGAGCGATGCCCGGGAACAGTCTCCAGCATTGCTTTCCAGCATTGTCCCGCTAGCATGGCAATGGGCATCGAGTCGAAATAGCCGCTCGTGACAGTATCTGGCGTGTTGAAATCATCATGCGCATCGAACCACACGCATCCAAGTTCTGCGTCTCCAAAGTCTTGCACTGTATGCAGCCCGGCGGCCACCCCGACAGCAGAAGTGCAATTTCCAGCGAGAACGATGGGAAACGAGTTCCGCCGCCGCTCTTGTGCGACAAGTCTTGCTGTGCGTCGGACAATCTCGAAGCTGCGGCCAATTTCTCCTTCAAATTCGTCTACCGGCTCCACGTATATCTCACGCAACGGTAGGCCAAGGTTGCTGAGGCTTTTGGATAAGCCACATGCCTTGAGAAAGGCAGGGCCTGCTCCAGGTCCTTGGTCGCGAAGGCCGACATGATAAGGGGAGATGATCAACGATAGGCATCGAAGGGGTGCTTTGGCCATATGATCCTCCGTGTAATGCCAAACGACAACGAAAAGAGGGTGATTTGAATGAAACGTGATCTCTGGAAAGTTTGGAAAAGAAGGCTAACGGTGCGAATCAATCCTTCAAACGCTTTCTGGTCTTCGCCAAAGAGAAGTCAAGTTGGTGCATCGGTCATACGCTAAGTGGAGAGCGCTGTCAAGTGAAGGGCGCGTCGTAGAGATGAGAAACCCCGATACTGGCAAGTTTCTGCGGAGGCCAGAGGGCGATAATTGGAACCGGCGGGCCAAAATCCGTGCTAAGAGGGCCTGTTGAGGTTTGGGCCGGAGTGTGATGTCATTGAATCAGTTTTATTGCTTCTTTAGGTTTCTAGTCAATTTCAATTCCAGAAGTCACACACCGGGGAATGACCTAAACGACCGCTCTTACAGCGTTTTACCTACCTACCGTCAGTATCGACGCGATTTCAGCTTCAGACATGCATATCACATTTGCAAACCCGGGCATGAAGAAGGTCGGCAATTCTTGTTGCGGTGTCAAAGCAGGAGTTTTGTGGAAGGAAACACACTAGGAAACTTCGCGCTTGGGGGGCGAACTAGAGCGCCGAGCATGCGTTGTTGGAACTGAGACATTCTCAACATGGATCCGTATGAAGACCATGACAACAGCTGTGAACCTAGTTGCGAGAGGACCGACGAATGGCAAATGTGTTGGTATTTGTGAACGTATTTGATGGGTAATATGGGAAAATGATGGCGTCGAGATTGGCCTATCACTTGTTTTATTTGTACATCTAAACGGTGCAAGTCCCTGACAGAACACTTGTCTTCAAGAGACCCAGTTCATGTTTGCCGTCCGCTGATGAATCTTCCATCGTAATATCAAATGTCGTGCTCCACCCGCTTGCGTCAAGGGTGGCATTGGCACGAAAATATTGAAAATCACTTTTTTCCAAGCCTGGAACTGGAAGGAACGGCACGCTTTCCACTTCCAACCTTGGGAGCAAGACACCTGGTCGAGCGACGCGATGGGCAAGGTGCAGAAGAGGTTGGGTGCTTCCACCAGCTAACTCTTTGCGCAGAGCTATAACCAGAGACAAGTCTCGAGTCGTACCGGTTCCCGTGACGCATGAGTCTGTTTGTTGGTACAGCAAGTCGGAATCCACAGGATATCCACCAGTGTTTGAATTGTCAAGAATGAATGTTGTACCGGTAGAAGGTGTCTTGAGCAGAATGTTGAAATTGCTGATTCCAGTGCTGGCGTTGATTGATCGGGAAAATTCGAACCAGGTGAACGTGTTGCCCCAGAAGCCATACGACTGGCCACCCCTGCTGCGGGCGCGGCTGGCCACAATCATATCTGCGTCTCGGGACCCTTGGCGATCCAGGTAATCCAATGATACTTCCAGGTCATCGCCGTTGATACCCGTTTCCGCATTATTACGGACTCTAATGCGCCCTTCAAACAGCAGGCTGCCGTCCGATTGCAGCCGAGGAGGATCCACGTAGGGTTTGACATCGACAATATCTAGTGGCTCTGTCAATGTCACTGACGCGGGAACGGTATCGATCATGCGCTCGAAGATTCGGGTGCACTTTGACTTGAATGTGACAGGATCCGAGAGAGAAGACATGGTAGCGTTACCGTCGGAACCAAAGATGCGCTTGTCCGAGTTCATTGTGTCGTTCACCCCGACCACCAGAGGGTTAGCTGTCTCGTTTTCAAGATACTCAGTCACAACTGCGTTGTCGAAGTTGGTCGGAGAAGTATCGAAATGAGCAATGTTCTCTTCGGAAGTCTCGCCGGCTACCATTTCTGGGAAGTCGACACTATGTATGTTGCCTAAGCTGTGACCGCATGCTACCATTGTAATCATGTCCTCTGCATACGTCTTGTTAGGGCGCACACTGATATGGGCCTTTCCAAAGGCTGTGGTCTTACCATCGTTGAAGCCCGCCCTCTTAAACGTTTGGCGCGTACTTTCAAGGTCATCTTCCGGCTTGGGAACCCCGGCAGGTCCTGCTTCAGTTGCGTCGATACGACCGGCTCGGAAAGGAATTTGAGGCCCGTCACACGCCGCAGCTGCAGCCACGACGCTGAGAGCTAGAAGATCAGAGACTGAGGATCTAGGCGTGAGAAAATCCCACATTGCTGCAAACGTGTTGTTGAAAGCAGAGCCGATGTTCTCAGGCCGCTCAAGCTCGAACATGAGTGATGCATCGAGCCCACCAGTGCCAGTTGCCGCGTCGAACGTAGACATGTCATGGAATGCACTACGTATCCACTCGGCCGAATTCTGGACCCCAGGCATACCTGAGCCATGGCTGCAAGGCGTGACCACTGCGATTTCTATTCGTCAGACCCTAAGATGAAATGAAATAGACGTGAAGTGAGTTGAAGATGAACACAAACAGTCAGAGAAGCCAAATCGGATGTAGCCCGAATGCATGGCTAGAATGTCCTCCAAATGGTCGTATTTGGAAGGCCAAACATATGATTCCGATGCTGAAACCAAGAGGCCCACCATTACAAGAGATGATCTCGCCATTTCGAGGTCTTATCTAATGGGATCGAAAGCTTGGAGAAACTTTCTGGAGCAAAACAAACTCGTGTTTCTTGTCGAACGCGCCATCCAGACTTTTAAACCGTACCCAGTCCGTCAGCATCGCCAAGATCGCCAATGCAACCTGCCTTCTTCGTCATCAAAAAGAGCCGGTGGGATAGAGTAAAATCACACGAGGGCCCACCGAATACGAGAGAGCCTGGAAGTCACCTTCTAGATTATGCTTAATTTGTTGCCGAATCTGCAGGTCCACCCGTTCGACTGACCCTTTCCGACCAATAGAGAGTACTGCTTTACTACGATGTCCTCTTCGTATCTGGAGTGCAACACCGATACGAAATTGACAAATACGCAAGAAGACAGACATGGCCTGAAGAGAAATGCATGTTTGAGCTCTTATCAAATGAGCCCATCATTTCGATTTAGCGATATCAGAAGAAGGCCAAAGCGTTTGGTGGGCTGGCCACCGCTCCAGGAACCTAGTGGGGACGGTTAGATGAAGAATCATCCAGACCCTCAAGAACGGACAAAGAAGACCTTACATTCATCGGTGAGCTCGACAGAAAGAATACATATCGGTGGAGTGACGAGCAGAGGCGGGAGAGATCTTCCAAGTAGAACAACTCTCCTATCGGCATCCCCCATCCGGCAAGCAGCCATTCGTGCAGATGCCACTCCGTGTCCTTGCATGGCCAGACTTCAAGAGATCGTGTAACTCCACAGATGGCCGCGATTTGGTTGTTCCAGAGGAACTCGAGGAGTTCAACGGATGGCTTGACGCCTATGTTATCAGGCTTACATGTTTTGTAGAGCTCATCGACTTCCCGTCGCCGCTCGAGTGTCATCGACTCATACTGGGCGAGGTACCCAAAACGAAGGACTACAATATCTCCTGGTCGTAAGACGTCTTTTCCGAGACCCTGGGCGGTCATTGCCTCCATCAATTCGTTGAAAGGAACTTCATGGGATGAAAAGGCATCGACGACAACCCCTTGCTTTTGCGCCCAAGCGTACCAGTCAATGAAGACAGCTCGGCCGGCAATGCCCTTGTGAGAAACGTCTGACCAAAATTTATCATCTGTTAATGGCTGCGGCAAGTAATGGCAAACTCACGTTGTATGCCATTTGCTACGGGAGAGCCCGCAAAGTCAGCGGCGGTGCGTCCCATGTAGTAAAGCTAGATTGAACGCGTCAATCATCAATCGATTTGATGTATTGATGGCACCTGTGAAGATGCACAGAACTAACCCCTTGTTCTTGGTATGCGTAATGCCTAAAGCCGTCCCACTGAGAGCTGCACTGGGAATTAAAGCTCCACTGAAAGATCCCATCAGCTCGACTCATTGATCAAATACTCTAATTTGGGAAACCCGTTTGACACATACTTCGTCATCGTGAGCATGCTTAAGGGGTGCCTTGTTAATGGTGTGCAACTCGAGAAGCTTCCGGGAAAACTTGGGGTACGAGGCGCCAGTCATAGACCAGCTTCAAACCCACTTAACTCAGCAAATAACCAATGGTGTTGATTCAAGCCTGTGACGTACTCCAGAGAAATCCTTTGGCCGGTAATGATGTTTTCCTTGGCTGCACTGGCGACAATGTCGTCTGTGAGTAGATTGAGGGTGCCTAGCTGATCGTCGGGGCCCCAACGACCCCACGCATTGCCGCGTGGTCCATTCTTATCAAGAGGAAGATCTGTAAACGGTGGAAAATCAATCGTCGTCATTTTGAAGCTGGCCGTTGAAAGTTGCCCCAAAGAAACTGACAGGTGAAGAGATTGCACTCGTAAGGCATAGACGTGTTACACTCGGTGTGCTGGAACAACTCTGCAGGGGTTCAGCACAACGTCTCTCGCCCAACTTAATACAATACAGCGAGAAGCACCCAGCATCTACATATGGAGGAATACTTAGCCCCCTCGGCTGACAACGTGCGTTTTTTCACCATCGGTGTGTACCAGTCGCTTGTAGAAGGTGGTCTTTGGTGGATCTGGACTCGCCCCGAAGCTTTCCAGCGTGACACCGGAGTCGCCCCGCCGTCGGAAAAGCCCCGAGGGAATTCTAGCCGAACACCTGCATCGAGCCTGCCGGGAATGGCTAAAGTCTAGTCAGCGGGCTGGATGTTTCGATTCACAGACGAAGGAATTATCGGCGCCCTCTCCCGCTTGTCTGACATAGAATGCGGGGAGGATCAAAAGGGAAAGGATGCATGATCTTGGTACAAGCTGAGGGTCAGCAGATTCGAACGAGCAACAACAAGGATCCCGCCCGGCTCACCAACTCGTGACAAGGGATATCCAGTTTTAAAAATGTGAAATGCCCCCTTCCCCCCGGAATTAAGCTCATCAAATTCGGATCCTCCATGCGATTTACGCCTTTTGATTTTTCCTATTTGAAAACATGGCACAACAATCGGAAATCCGCAACCGTGAAATGGCCAAATTGGACGTCAAACACCTAGAGTCAGGTTCAAGCTCTGACCCATATGCAAGTCTATCGCCAGAGGATAGGGAACTTATGAGAATCTATGAGGGAAAGAAAGGCAGAAAGATTGTCAAAAAGGTCAGTTGAGCTGGATTCACAACTCGCCGTTTGCCACATCAAGTGCGCAAAGACTTTTGACTTGTTTGTGTTACTAAGAAGGGTACCACCTAGATTGATTATCGCTTGATTCCAATCATGGGTATTCTATACCTTCTCTCTCATATTGACCGAGGAAACATCGGCAATGCGAAGATTGAGGGCATGGATAAAGATCTGGGGCTAACAGGCAACCAATACAATATCGCGAGCACCATTTTCTTCGTTCCATACATCATCTTTGGTGGGCTGCATGCATTATTAAGTGATAGACTCAGTACCCATTGAAGCTAATCAATTTCCTTGACTAGAAATTCCTTCGAATATCATACTCAAAAAGGTCCGTCCCAGCATGTGGCTATCCGCCCCCGTTCTTTCATGGGGAACTGTAATGACTCTTATGGGAGTTGTGAAAGACTTTCAAGGGATGGTGATCTGCCGGGTCTGTCTTGGTCTTTGCGAGGTGGGTTAGTCCCTTTCTAGATGCTATGCCGAGATGAGAAAGTGCTGATAGAAGTTCATGGCGAATAGGCAGGTTTCTTCCCAGGCGCTGTATACATTGTGAGCACGTGGTATCCCCGACACGAGCTGCAACAGCGTCTCGACACCCCAGAGAAGGCGAAATGGCTTAACGAGGACGATAAAAGATTCATCGATGTACGTCTTCGTCTGTCTGGCGTTCGATCTGGCACCCAGGAAGGTGATAAGCTCTCTTGGCGACTACTTTTGGACACTCTTGTCGACTGGAAGATAGGACTTGGCATCCTTCTTGCTTGGGTTAACTCTGTGCCGAACGCCGCGTTCAAATTCACAATGCCTCAAATTATTAAGCAGCTTGGCTTTTCTACGGAAAAAGCGCAGCTGTTGACGATTCCACCGTATATCTGCGGTGGCATATCGGCATGGCTCACAGGCAGATTTTCAGACCGATTCTCTTGGCGGATGCCTTTCATCATTGGACCGATGACTATCTCAGCAGTGGCACTTGGAATTTTGTTTCACTTCTCTTCGGATGTAGCCAATAATGTCCCAGCCATGTATGTCAGTGTCATATTGGCACAGATCGGCATATATCCGCTTCTGCCTGGCATAACTTCCTGGATAGGAAATAACCTCGCTCTCTCGTAGCTTGGCTGCTTGCCGCTGGTAATTTGGGCAGTAAGTGAAAGTCCGCAATCGCTCGCTGGATTCATCCTGCATTTGCTAATGAGTATTAGGCCTCATTGGAACCAATGTCTTCCTGGACAAGGAGGGCCCGAAGTATCCCCTAGGATGTGGCACTTCGCTCGGTATTATCTGTCTAGGTCTAACATCCGCTGTTATTTTGGAATTTCTACTGTGGAGATTGAACAACAAGAAGTCCAAGTTGTCTCAGCACGAAGTCAGGGAGAGGTACTCTCAAGAACAACTAGACGGAATGGGGGAAAAGAGCCCGCTATATCAATACACATTGTAGAACCTCAAGACTTGATATCTCTTGGGAAGTTTGTTTAAATACGCAGACCTTTCCACAAAATTCCACCTTATCCGCCCGTGTGCCCATCCATGGACAATTGTCAATTGATCGAATCCAGACCCCCCGCATATTACCACACGTATCCAGTAGGAAACACCAGAACAAAAGTTTCTTAAATTTAGGTCAACTTCGGAATGGGGCTTCAATAGCAATTTGATTTCTGGGTGAATTTCCCAAGGAAGAACCATTGGTGGAAGGAATGTCGTTCTAGTTCACTAGTAGCGTGCTGTTCTTCCCCAGAATCAAAATCATGGAATGAAATGTCCTATCCGTCATCTCAGCTCAGCTAAGGTATACCGGCACCGAAGTCTATATGCACGAACCAATCCAAGATGCTAGCCACTGGAACTGGATGAGGAGAGGGATGACGTATTTTGAAACAGCAGGTCTTGATCTAGGGGACATGTGTAGGTATAGTAGTCTTGGTATGGCAGTTCAGTACGAATAGATTGAGAGTAATAACAATTTTACAGCCACAGACAATTCTCAAGATGCAAACCTCCATCCATTGGATTCGCCGGAGACTCTTTCATGCTCATCCAACTCTTTGTTCTTCTTCCGACAGTACCACTTAGTAACGAGGACAAAGATTACTGTCAAACCACACCCAACAATGATTGCGCCGCCTCCCGTCTGATAATATGGCTCCTGGTTTCGAAGGAAAAAGTACGGTGTGAACCAGTGAGAGACAGACGAGACACAGTTGGCAATAGCGATCAGAGCAGCCCTCTTGGTCCGTGGTCGTGGCACAACAGTTGTTTCCCAAGATATTTGAAGCTATTGTGGTCAGTAACAGACACTTAAACGCGCAGGGAACAGTCCGTAACACTTACATTAAGGCCGACAAATGGGCCAGTGACCAACAAGATCATGCAGAAATATCTGGCCCCAACGTTCAACGTTGTGATCATTACAACACATGCAACTAATGTCAACAGAATTGGCACTATGATGTGGTAGCCATGCTCAAGCATTCTCCCAGATGACCAGGAAACTGCCAGAGTTACAAGAAAGGCAATGATTGGAGGCGGCGCTTGAATGAGATACGTGGTGGTGTCCCCAAACCCAAGAGTGGCGAGAATCTAAAGAACATGTAAGTAAACGTGCAAGCCAAGGTTTTATAAGTATGAATAGATATAACCGACCGAAGGGAAGAAGTCTTTGTAAGACTGCGCAATGATGAGAAAAAAGTGGATAGCAGAGAAAAGGTACGTGAACGGGTCTTTGAGTGCCATCCACACCCCTCCCCAGTAATCTCCCTCGTCATCTTCAGCTCGACCGCCAGCCGACACAGTTTGTCTGTATTGAGCCATTTGTGACTCCTCAGCAGTGAGGAAATAGGTGCCAGTTGACTCGGGAAAGTTGGGGATAAACCAGAAGCTGACTAGACCAATCGTGATACTAACAATACCTGGACCGGTGTCAGAAAAGACAACATCACCATATGCACAGCAACTGACCTTCAAGTAGCAGAAACCATTGCCATGCTGACATTCCAGCTATGTCGTCCATATTCTGGAGGATACCGGCAGCCAGAAGGCCCGAAATAGCCTGCGAAATGGTGTTTCCAGCGTGCCAAATTCCCATGCGGAGGGGAGACTCGTGCTTCGTGTACCATGACGACGTCATGAGAGAAACAGCTGGGACAAACGGACCCTCTGTTAGCCCTACGACAAAGCGACACAGGAGGAATCCCCAGCCGGCAGTGACAGCAGGCATACATAAGGTGGTGACAGACCACCCGAGCATACAGCATGGAAGCAAGATTCGCGGCTTGCCTTTCGCAATGATGACATTTGCGGGAACCTGCGAGATGATGTATCCGACGTAAAAAAGGGAAATACCGGCGGACCACATGGTGTCGGACATGTGAAGATCATCTTGCATGCCGGCTAGTCGCGCATTCGATACGTTGATCCGGTCCAAGTAACTTGACATGGTTAGTAATGACTTCTCTGTCGACAAATAGGCTTGAGATGGAGCAGACCCGGGGTCCGAAACTCACTTCATCATGAGCATGGCACAAACCATGGGTAGGAATTTCCAATCAAGACGTTTTCGAACGGCTTTGTCGAGTGCTTTGAGTTCTTCAGGGGTCTTATTCCTGATGAGGTCGTACCGCTCCAGTAGAGGGTCGCGGGCTGGGGCATTTTCTTCCCACTCGATCCCAACCTTGACATCGACTGAGCCGCGTGTCGAGTTACGAGAAAGCGTCATGTTTGCCGAGGTATGTCTGTGAGTTGAAGTAAGATGAATTGGGAATGAGGTAGGAAGTAGGAAACGTTTCGAAAAGGCACTCTTTAAAAACGGTCGAGACCCTTTTGTACTTCAGGTTGTCATGACTGAGACTTCGAACGACCTGACCACGAGGTGACCACGAGCTCAACTCGGAAAAGCATGATGGCCAATTTTACAGCCACAAAGCTCCAGTTTCCCCGCATTGAGACCCCGTTTCCCCGCGAATCCAACGATCATGTATTTGTTGCGGGTTGTCTGGGGTCAGCTACTGCCACTATCGGAAGGCCTCCGGAAGGCAGAGACTCTGCTCGGACTCGGTCCGCATTGGCAACCAATACCGTAAGTGGGTAAGCGCTTGAGGTAAATGTCACGCCAAGACTGCCAATGGGGAAC